CGGGCAGCGCTGGCGAGGGCCCGCAGTTGCCCGACAACGCGCCCCCTCGGTTCCCCGGCCGCTCCCCACAGGGCCCGGTGGGATAGGCAAGAGACCGCAGGGCCGCACTTACCCCAACAGCTCAGCGCCCCCGCTCCAGCGCCGCCATGAGCAGCACGGCACGGCACGTAGGAATAAATCCCGGCCTCTCGCGAGACCGCGGGAGGGGCCGCGCATGCGCGGAGGGCGGGGGCCGCCGACAGCGGGGTCTGCGCATGCGCCCGGAGCTGCGGCTCAGGGGATGGCGCCGGCGCATGTGCGCATGCGCGAGCAGCTTTGCTGAGACGGCGCGGGCCAATGCGCGAGGCTTCGTCAGCCCGGAACGGGACGGCCCGAGGCCGGCGTCCTGCCCGCCCCCCCGGGGCAGGAGATGGAGAAGCATAGCCGGCGCTCACGCTGGTGGCCCAAGTCTGGCCCCGCTGCAGCTGCCCCTACATCAGGGGCACCCCCACAGTGGCCCTGCCCACACCCTGGAAACAGGCCGCTCCCACGGCAGTAACCACCACCACGTGACGTACTGTAAACATTTATTTCAAGAAAAATAAGAGGCCGATATACATACTGCTCCGTAGTCCCAAGACACAGACGAACTGTTCCAAGGCTCGCTGGAGCTGGCAGGCGAAAGGAAAAGTCACAGCGGCACACCACAGTTAAACTTATCGTACAGTATCTTCTCCCGTGGCTTATTCACAGGATACATCAGAATCCAGGTATGAGCACAGGTCTGTCCTGCTGCAGGAACTCATCTGACTCTAAACATGGCACAGAAGGCATCTTTAAGGCATAAAGCTGTGACTGGTGCTAATGTGCATCTGGCTCAGTTCCTGCTAGGCAGGGCGTGCTTGCGCGGCTCTCGGCAGTAGCAGTTTTTCTGCCAATTCGACTTTCTGCAGCACACTCAGGCACTCGCATCCTGGCAGCTGTAACAGGGCTACGTCAGAGGCTGAGTTGAGAAGATACGGGGCCAGTTCTCAGCACTTCCTTGGGGAAAAGTCCACTACAGGAACTGAAGCAACGTGTCTGAAGCATTTTATTTGGGACCTGGAGTTCAGGGACTGTGAAGACAGGTGGGTTCTTCAACAGCCAGGCACCTCACTCTTACCAAAAGTGAATGGGAGCCGAGCACCCAGCTGCCTTGAGCTCTTGTGAAAAGCTCAGGGCAGCTTTATGAGTTGCAGACAATACATAAAGGGCAAAGATTCTACACTAATGTTTACTCTTAAAAAAAGCGGACTAGCAGAAGAACACAAAATGGCACCCTCTTCCCACCCTTTGCTTAGTGAGGATCTAAGCAATGACTGCTAGGCAACTGCTTCCACTTCTGAACTTCACAGCAGCTTGAGAGGCTAACTGCTGTGCAAGCCAGCAAGTCCCCTGAACGTGGAATGCACTTATACAGACCTCCCAGAACACAGTACCATAAAAGCAAAACCTGTGACAAGAAATGGCTCAGTTTCAATCCCTGCACTTAAAATACCAATCTCCCAGGCACGAGGGGAAAGAGAAGCATGTTGTTTGGTCTCAAAAAGAGTTCTGAAGAAAAACTTTCTTTGTTTTGTTCATTTATTTTTAACTTGGGAAGGAAGAAAGGGGAGGTTTTTCACCCAGCATCTTTCTATTGAGAATTCCTTTTTCCTCTGTTAGATTAGGCTTCTCCAAAGATGTTCTGGGATGAGGCAAGTATTTCTCCCGTAATTCAAAGAAACGAGACCTAAATCCCTCCACGACCATCAAAAATCTTCCTTCTGATGGAGGACTGAACAAATAACTTGACATTCCTATGGAACTGCTAAACTTAATAATTCAGCTTTCAGTAACTTAGGAAAAGAACTTGGAAGCATGTATTTAAAAGTCTTCTGTGATTTAAAGTACCATTAGTCACTGGAACGTCTAGGTTGCAGATACCAGGTTCGTTACAACACAAGAAAGCTAGAAAGTATTACTAAACAATATTCTGTGCCAGTATCTGAACCTGCCTACAATAAGCAGCAGCCAGTCTTCCAGTCTGTATCCCAGTGACATTAACCCAGCCACACACTGCTTGGTGAGTTAGCCATTTAAAAAATTAAACATATATCCTGGTATGTAAAAGACAGCTTTTCAAACAATCAACTAAGTCATATCCATTTCACAAAATAATAACCACTCATAAAATAAAGCCACCTACGAACTGGGAGTTAAGATAGATAAATGGCTATCTGCACAGGTAAAAGTTTTAACTGAAGCTGAGCTAGAAGCAGTCTTCCTTAGGGGAGACAAACACAAAGGAGTATAGCTCATGGTTAAGCTGCCATCAATTGTTATTAAGACTGAGCAGCATTGCAAACCATTGCCATCAGAGGGAGATGTTTCAACAGCAGTGCTAAGAAAATAAATGTATACACTGTGGAAGACAGAGAAAAATGAGGATACCAGGAGACATGTGGAAGAACACCACGCAAAAGAAAGTGAGCTTTCCTGTAGGGTTGGTTCCAGATACTTTAGTTTTTTTAAAAATTCAAGAGCGGAGACAGTTATTCTGGAGCTTGAGGTCCACTGTCAGGCAGCTCCACTATCCTCACCGTGGGAGATTCTGTGCTGATGGATAACAGCTCACGCAGCTCCTTGTTTTCAAGCTGCAAAATCAATATTTGGGCTGAAACACAAATGAACTAACTCACAATTAAAGGACAAGAATAGTTAAGAACAGCCCTGTTGTCTAACAAATTTTAAACCTGACAGAATACTAATAGTATAATGTAGGGGACAACCCAGCATTGGGAGGAGAGGAGCAAAATAATCGAAGGTCTCTCTTTTATATCTGGATTATTTGCATCACAAAAGACCTGTGGGTGCTTGGGAGAGGGATGGGTACTGTGCTACTGCTTCCACCTTTAATCTTTTACTTTGGCGACAAAAGCGCACAGACTGTGGGGGCCAAGGTTGGTCTCGCTCTCTCCTGCATTTTCTATTTCCAGAATGCAGAGAGCATTTCAATGTCAGACTAGGGGTCCCTCTGCACAAAACAGAATTATGAAGTAAGCTCCAGGATATTGACTCCTATGGAAATACAGAAATATCAACAGGGATCAAATAATTTGATACCAATCAGTTCATATATATTCACTTACTACATACAAACTTGACCATACATGCCACTTTCAGATTTTTCCTTAATAAGGGGTTTCACCATATCCCTGCATGAGCACCAGGGAGTCCCCTGAACCACTCAGGATCTCAAAACCTACACGACTTGCTGTTAAGTGAATGTGAACAGGCAACAGGCTCGCTTACCTGAATTCCCACCTATACAATGGTCTTACCTCCAACTGGGCTAGTTTTTCCTGAATTGTAAAGAACTGATCGTCATCCACTTGAACAGCTCTTCTCATCACTTCTCCCATCTCATAGATTCTGTCTATTTGACTCTCAATCTCCTGAAAACATATTCAAGCAACATAATACTACATTTAGTTGACAGTGTTTTCCTTCTTCCCTCTCCCAGTAGTTACACGGCATCCTCTATTAAAGTGGCCTCCAAGATACCCTGTTAAATACGCAAAAGAGGACAGTTCAAAGTGTGACAAGCACACAGACATCACGTTCCAGTTTAGCTGAATGCAGCTGTAATACAACCTGCACTGAGTCCGTATACATTGAGGTACAATACAAGAACATGATTTAGAATACAGCACAGGAGGCAATTATTATTCTGTATTCAATTATTGGTGAGGCCTCATCTGGAATATGCTGTTCAGTTTGGGGTATCACACTTTAAAACAGAGAGATTAAGAAAAATTAGATTCCAGAAGAGGGCAATAAAACTTTGTTGTAAAACAAATGAAAGTAACAACTGTCTTAGATTCACTAGTTAAGTCAGTGCACGCGACGCAGACCAAAGCATGGCCTTTCAAGTAGTGGCACTGGCAGCTTTTGGGAATTCAAAATAGAGATTCCTTAACCTCACCTATAAACTCACTAGGGGGGACCAGAAGGGTTTAGGGGAGACACTGTTTCCCCCAGCGCCCCCTGACATGACAAGGAACAATGGACACAAATTATTAGAGAGGAGATTTAGATTAGACATCCGCAAGAACTACTTCACAGTTCGGGCGGCTAGGAGCTGGAACCAACTTCCTAGGGAA